TATTAATTCGGGAATCACGGATTTTATTAGAGCTGGCGGGGATGTTTTTTTTTTTTGCAACAGAGTAGGGGTTTTTTTGCATAATCTTTGAGGCCTGTTGCTTATTGCTATCATTTGTTTCATCTTTTTTTCACGTGTTCACCAAAGTAATCGATCGGACGAGATAGCGTCCTCACGCAGTTGTATACTGTTGATTATAATTGCAGTGATGATTTTATTTCATTATACTTGGATGTCTTGTTAAAGCACCTCAAGGTGATTGATTCGTGCTAGCCAGGTCAGGCTTACGTGAATTAGAAGATGGAGAACAGAGTGGGAAGAGGGGCAGTTTAAGGTAAGGCTTTGCGGTCCATTAAGTCATATACGTCTTAACTCAACACTGCAACTGAACCTCCCTGAAGGACTTTGTGAATTGTTTGGGCCAGGAGAACTGATGACCTGGCAGTGCCCTGTGGAAACCGATTTGCCAGTCCAGCAGGTCATGCAGTACTGGTCAGAGCAGCTGGAGGAGTTACCAGTTTCGTAGTTAGAGAACTGCACTATTAATGAACAGCTGCTGTCGATCAGCTGATTCTGCTGTTGTTTCATCATAGCTCCCTTCTTCAAGTTGGCTGTTTTGCTGGGCGATGCTTTAACCGAGCCTGCTGAATTGTCTGATCTTCTTCAGGTTCCTACTGTTGCTCCTGGTTTGCTTGGATATTCTTTTCCATCCATTTCTTCGCGTAGAAAAATGCCAGATTAAAGAAAACACTTATTTTGACTCTCTAAGGAGTTTGTGCCCCGCGATGTAAATACATGTGCCGCATTAAAAAAAAGCGTGTATTTCGGCCCTGTGAAGTAAATGGTGCCACGTGACGGGGTGACGTAAATGTTGTCACGTGACGGGGTGACGTAAATGTCGCCACGTGACGATGACGTAAGCGGCGCCTCGTGTTAAAAGTAATGCCTCATGGGATAAATCCTTCTCGAGCAGACTATTTCGAAGGATGTTGTTTCTTGTCTTGTTATACCCTAATCAATAGGTTGAAGTCAGCAGCGTTTTCCCACCTTTCCTTGATTTTTAATACCGGTAAATCCTTCCTGTTTTTAAGCTTTCGGTTTTTGCGCATTTGGCTTACTTCATCTATCGCATTTAGGCCAAATTTTTTCGGAATTTTTTCCTGCATATGTGATGTTTTTTTTTTTTTTTTTTTACTTTTCTCTGTAAGCTTTGTACCTCTAAACTTGTTGATGTATCTAGCATCACGGGGAGGTTTAGGATTTGTTGAGTTTTCCTTTCAAACTACCCTTGGATACAGGAACAATCCAGGATTTTGCTAAAATGGTGTCACACAGCGATGACGTAAGCGTTGTCATATGATGGAAAGTGGAGCCACGTGACGGAGATGGTTTATTGATTTTTTTGGCAAATTAGTGCTGATTGTAGACACTTCGAAGTGCTTGTGCCTTTTGCGAATGGATAAGATGTTAAAACTCTAAGGGCAGAAGTGGAAGAGGTGGAAGGAGGGGGAGAGGGGGGAGGGAAGTTAGTATGTATCCGAAGTTACCCAGTACATTTTATACGAAGTTACCCAGTACAGTTTATCATATTCCTTTGGGCCCGTGATAGATCCTTCAGTTTTGCTTCTGAAAAGCTTAGTGAGATTTCAAGTATTTAGACGATTTTGCTGTCTTCTTTGATTCTGTGTTTTTGCAAGTTACCCTATATCCAGAGAATTTCAGGCCCGGACAGTGGGAGCGTATGCAGCCCGTGAAGTTTTGAGCAGCGTTGCTGCGCCAGAAGTCACATCTCTCAAAAATGGTTTCCGCATTGTCACAGAGATCAATGGACGGCCTACCGTTGCAGTAAGTTAATTATTTTGCATTCTTAGCATTTTTCTTTGTCTCCGGTTTATGCAGTATCTTTCAGGGTATGATAACTCGACTGAATGAGCTGGGAAATTGCAGCACTGAATAGGAATGTATGCGACTTGATGCTACCGAAACATTCCCATTCAGATTTTAATCTTAACT